CCTCTGTTTACCCATGAATTTTGGACCACCGCCTCAGGTGACCCACCATTTAAACAATATGACTCTCAACATCTCTCCTCACTACTTCCCTGGCTCTCAAAAATGTACCCCAAGCATTTCATGTCTTCACAGTTCTATGCCAGCTCTCATACAAGAAAGGGTTTGATAAGCCTCGTGGAAGGATAAGATGTCTTCTTTCCCAGGGGTTATTCACAGGGCAATAGACTCACTCCACAAACAGTATTCTTTTCCTTTGTGGCCAGCAGCACATGGTATGGAGATGTAGCAGTTTATGGACACAGGCATACCATACATAGTTGGCTCTGACCACGTAGTATGGGACAGGATTCTCGGAGAAATGGTTTTGTTTTGTTTTGTAAAAAGGAACAATTCCACTCTGTCCTAGAGGCTTCCTTTCTAATCAGTGTTCTCTAAAGGGGCAGTATAACAAGGAGATTGTGAATCAAACTGTCAAAGGACATGGGAATAGAAAGAGCTTTCAGCGATAGTTTTACCCAAAGACATACAAGCTTTTCTTCTGCCAAAGAATCAGCAACTGACACTTTGATACTTATTACATTTGCTACACAAGTTAGGTAAGGAGGGGGTGCTAGTACAGATAAGATGCTTAACCTGATAAAAACCCACTGGCTCCAGAAGTAAAAGCAGAGCCCACACCAATAAAGCTGCATCATGCAATTCACTAAATAATGAAGCAGCGCAGGTATAGATACCAGAACTACATTTTCACAGTGATTTTAGTTTCTGTATAGAAGGTATCACAGAAGCTGCTGCTTGGCAGTACCTTCCCAGTAAATTAGTTGCTGATACACCAAAAGCCTTGAGAAAACAGCCACCAGGATATATTTGCTGACTAGGCCATAAACTCACTTCCCATCTCAACATGAGAATCTTTGTGGAAATGCAAGAAAAGCCACACCTACTCCTAAAACAATCTCCCAGTACCTATAGACTTAATGTTTATATTTTTGACCCCAGTTTTCCTAAAGCAGACAAAGCTTTGGAGAAAAGCTCTGCCATTTCCTAACAAGTTACTTGTCCAAGTTGCTTATCTTCTCTGTGCTTTCCTCATCTGTAAGATAGGGGTAGGAATAGCACATTGGCCTCCCAGTGCTACTGTGAGGATTAAATGGGTTCATACCTGGAGTGCTGGAAGAGTGCACAAGGTAAGTGGGGGCTATTGTCCATGGACAAGAGACTTGTTTAGTATAGCAAAAAGGTAGAAGCAATCTACCTGCTCAACACCAGAAGAACAGCTGAGTGATTTATGTTGTATTCCTGTGTTGTGATACTGTGTTTTCAAATAAACTCTTCTGCCATAGGAAAATATTCAAAGTGTATTAGGTGAGAAGAATCAAGATGTATAATTAGTTGCACTTGGACTATGAATCTAACTCTGACAGAAGGAA